AGACACAGAGATACAGAGAGAGAGAGACCATGAGCAGGGGGAGAGGCAGAGGGAGAGGGAGAAGCAGGCTCCCCGCCGAGCCAGGAGCCTGATGTGAGGCTCCATCCCAGGATCCCGGGATCATGACCTGAGCTGAAGGCAGACACTTAACCATCTGAGCCAACCAGGCGCCCCTGAATCCAATTACTTCTTAGCTCTTCATCCCCATCCCCTCTAGCCCACGTGCCCATCATTTCTCCCTCAGAGTATGAAACCGCCTCATAGCCATTTCCCAGCTTCCAGGCTCTCTCTCCTGCAGTCTTCTTGCTTTGTAACTAGGGACACTGCAGGTAAATCATGCTTGCCACTCTCCTGATTGAAACTTAGAACAACATCTGAACTCCTTGCCTCAACATGTGTGGCCCTAATGATCCGGTCCTTGGTTTCCGCTCTGTCCCCATTTGCTTTCACTTGCACCCTACCTAATATGTTTGGGATGCAACAAGCTTTCTGGCTCTTTCTCACATGACTCAGTTTTGTTCCCATGTCAGGGAATTAATTCCCCCAGAAATACTTCAGCCTGGAATGGTCTTCCCCACTGGCCTTTCCTAGTTGCCATACTCAACAGAGTTCTCACTCCATCACTGTCTATCCTTCTGCCATATTTTATTCTTTTCATGTTTCTTATCATTACTCAACATTATGCTACTGTATGAGTCAGCTTGCGCTGCCATAACAAAATACCACAGCCTAGGTGGCTTAAGTAACAGAAATTTATTTCCTCATAATTTCGGAGGCCCGAAGTCCAAGGTCAACACACCATCAGTGTTGATTTCTTGTGAGCCCTCCTTCCCTGGTTTGTAGGAGATCACCTTCTCATTGTGTCCTCACATGGCCTTTCTCTGTGCATGCAGGGAAAGAGAGGGGGTGGGAGAGGGAGGGAGAGTGTTGGGGGTCGGGGGCTCTCGGGATGTCTCCTCCTCTTATGTGGACACCATTCCTATCAGATTAGGGCTCCATCCTTTTGACCTCATTTGCCCTTAATTACCTCCTTAAAACCTTATCTGCAAATAGAGTCACATTGGGAGTTAGAACTTCAGATATGATTTTTTGGGGGTGGGGGTGGGAGGGGACACAATTCAGTCCATAACAGTTATGTATAATTGTTTACTGGCTGTTTTCCCATTAGAATAAAGCACTAACAGGGCAAAAATTATGTCTATTTTGTGCAGCACTGTATCCCTAGTACCTTTCAGTCCTTGGCCTGGATGAGCTGTGAGGGTGTAACTGTTGAATGAATGAGTCAAATAATGATAGAATGGCTGAAGCCTGGAAGTGATAATCAACCCAAATCTCTATCTGGCTGGCTTAGTTTCCCCATGTTTGGTGTTTTTCCGTATCCCTCTCTACATTCCCAGGGTGGTTATCAGCAGGACTCTGATGAAAGGGGACACAGGTCTTAGGGGCGCCTGGGTGGCTCAGTCGTTACGTGTCTGCCTTCGGCTCAGGCCATGATCCCAGGGTCCTGGGATCGAGCCCCACATTGGGCTCCCTGCTCTGCGGGAGGCCTGCTTCTCCCTCTGACCCTCCCCCGTCTCATGTGCTCTCTCTCTCTCTCTCTCTCATTCTCGCTCTCTCAAATAAATAAATAAAATCTTTTTTAAAAAAAAGAAAGGGGACACGGGTCTTGATTTAGGATTTCTGACTGTTTCCTCAGGGAACCAGCTCTGAGGGCCTCTTTTCCCAGGGGACCACCCTGGCTGCCCAGGAGTGGCCAGACAACCTGCATTCATCTCGCTGGAATTCTTTGGCTCATTATGCAGCCTGAGGACACTGAAGATGAAAGGAAAGTCTTCAGCAACCACAGAGAAGTTCAAGGAGAAAAGAGGTAACTGGTTCTTGGAGGGAGAGGAGGGAGAATACCAATTACCTTTATTAAAGGATATGGCAATTTGAAAAAAAAAAAAGATTGCAGATTTAGTGAAATCCTGCTTTCCATAAAGAGATAGTTCACAGGTAATCTCTCTAGGTCCAATGCCTTTGAGATTAATTTTGCCAAAGTAAAAATATCACTTCATCGCTTATGGAGAAATGAATGAATTTTCCCTCCTCTACTCCAGTAAACAGATAGTTTTGCTTCTCTATAAATACACTTAGCTGGTGCCACGATAAGTTCAGTTTGTTTCTCTGAGTTCCATTTATGTGAATGTTGGCCCTTTTGACACTTTCTTGAACCTCCAGCTGCTTGTAGCATGCTGATGAGTGGGATATCTTTCATTTGACTCCCAGTGTGGGAACCTTGATTTTCATGCAAAGCCTGATGTTTTGCAAAATGCAGCTTGTTCAGATGCCAGATAGACCTTAAAAAGTAGAGCAACCTACAAAGACTGCTTTGTGCCTGTCTTCTGGGCCTATGGCACTAGGATAAGTTTCATAAACTGGGTCAATGCTTAAGGTTCAACACATTTCGTATCTGACATTACCAAGAGCTTATGAAAGCTTCTTGCT